TGGGAGTGCTAGTGCCATATGCGGAGGGTGCTGTTGCTGGCAATGGAGGATGGAAGGAGGGAGCTAGTGGTTGGGAGGGGAATATTGGGGAAAGGTGAGATAGTGCGGTGCTATGACAGTTAGAATGGTGTGGCATCAGGGGGGGGAAGGTGTGTGAGCATTAGCGAGATAGAGAGAGGTGCTGAGGAAGGAATAGGTCCTTGTTGATTTTGCTTTTCTTTTTGTCCCCCCCACCCCAAAAAAAAAACACACACACAAAAGAAAAAAGGAACTTTAAAGATGAGCAATATCAACTGCGGACATGCTGGTTGACTAATTGGTCAGTCACGTATCTTTCGGCGAGACCAACTTGTTTTTTGTTTTTTTTGACAATTTAGAATATAACAAGTCAAAAGTGGGGTTGGTGGAATAATCTAGCTAAATCCTGCTATTAAAAATAAGAGTAGGGTTACCAATTTAGTAAAGACCTCCAAGTTTGCCTATAATCTTTGCAAACAAATAACAATGAAACTGAAAAAGAAATATAAATGATACTGAAGTAATTTTTGTCTGTGAAGTAACACCATAGAGAGGATTTGCCATTGGAATAATATGAATATAGGTTGTAAATTTAATTGATAGGATCAGAGTCTCTGCTAGTTGAACTTGTGAACTAAGAATGCAAAAGGAGAATTTTGGAAATTCCATGCCCTATCTATCAATTAAAATCCCTTTTGAACCCCTTTTCCCTTATTTTTTTTTTTTTTAAAAAAAAGGAGAACTTTGGTGCTAAAATGGCAGAATTCTAGATTCAGCCTTTGGAACCGAAACTAGAGATTTTTTGGAAAACCAAGTAAGGCAAGTGAGCTCTAGCAAAGAACTTCAGGTAATTTCATCAAATAGATGGAGGGTTTGCAGTACTCATTTCAAGTATTTTTCTGATTGACGGTTTGTTATATATTATTTGTACCTGGGTTTCAGTTGTCTTTTGAGCTTTATGTTTCTCAACTAGTTGTTTGAGTTTAAAATTAATAAGCTGGAATGAACTGCTGGAGCTAGAAATGCATCTGATATTGTACATTGCTTCAAAATTTCCCACTGTTAAAATCTGGAAATACTATATATCATATTCTTCAAGGTGTCCTTTCTCCTTTTTTTAATCCTTACACGGATCTTCTATGTTTGTCATCACTGCATAAGATAGTTACTATGGATTAATTGCATCTATTACATGCATATATTAAATTTAATGATATGGAAGAAGCTTTATCGGTCATGGTTTTTTAAGATGTAGGCTCCAAACTTTTGCTTTTCAATTACCTACTTCTATGCTTGTAGATTTCACTTAGAGTTCCTTGCGTAATTTTGCAAGCCATTTCTCTAAACTGGTTCTGACTTCAAATTATTGTGGAAAACATAGTATTTCTTAGGATATAAGGAAAATTTTCAGTCAAATCTTTTCTTTTCCACCACTAGCTGGTCAGGTAATTAGGCTCTTCTAAGCTGTTGCACTTCTCTTTGGTGCTAAATAATGAACGTTGTTTATTGAGAATAGTCATCATAAATTAACAGGTTCTTAGTTATTAAGTAGTATTTTGTTTTCTAGCATCATTAGAATATCTGAGTATGGTATCCTGCTAGCTGCTCGCAATAAAATCCTGCTGGAATCTAATTCCATTGCTCTGGTTGGAAATTCATCTTCTTTTTACTCATCTCTTTGTCGTTGAGTATGGATCTGACTACCACAACATCATGCATAAATAGTTGTGTGACAGTCTCCAGTTTGTTGTACTGAAGGCGTACCGTTCTTGTTTTTCATGATTGCTCCTTCCCATTTTTCTTTTCCTTTTTGTAAAATTACTTTGGTTGACGGGTTGAGTGGTGCTTTTGAACTTCTTCTCCATGTTTTCATTTGGGCGGTAACATACAATAGGCAATCCATTTATCCATGACACATATATGCCGTGTGTGCAAAATTGCAGTTTCAAGTTGTGTGCATTTCCTTAGACATGTATCAACTGTATTTCTGTGTTGCTGAATGGAATATTTTCATTGCAAATTATGCTATCGCTAACACACTGTTGTCAAAAAACACAGTAACAGTTCCTTGACCACTTTCATGCCATTTTTGTATGATGAAGCAGAGAGACAATAGTGGATTGACTAATGAGAACAAAGAGCTCAAACTACGGTTGCAAGCTTTGGAACAAGGAGCACATCTTAGAGATGGTATGCCTGTTTAATAGCTTGATGTGATTTTCACTGATTTATTTTAGTGACATATGAGTGAATATTTTCTAGCTCTGAACGAGGCTTTGAGGGAAGAACTGCAGCGGCTTAAGATAGCAGCTGGCCAAATTCTAGGTGCCAATGGAAATAGGGGGCCACGTCCGCATTTCCCTCCCCAGCCACAGTCATTTGTCCAATGTGGTAGTCACCATGCGCAACAGCAGCAGCAGCACATGCCTCATTCTACCACAAGTACCCAGAATATCGGTGGGCAGACCCAACCTAGCTTCATGAACTTCAATAACAGGGGTTGAAAATGTCAAAAGGGAACATCATAAATGAGTAATTAGCATAGAGCTTTGTATATATTGATATGTAATGGATAGTGGTACAGGCTGTGAGTGCATGCTACTCAGATCATTTGTACCATTATCAATACTAGTTACTTTAATGCTATAGGAGAAACTTGTTTCATAAACAGCAGCTAGATATTGTTCAACATCTTTTATGTTATGATTATCATAACTTATTATTTGTGAGGTTTCCAGTTGTTTGATCTCAATTAAATAAACCTTGCTGGTGATTAAATTCTTCTGAATGACCTCAAATTCCTGACCATTGAGCTAGAAAACAGGCATGAACATGATCTTGGGTTATGGAAATAAATTTGCTCTATTTATTTTCCACAATTACAACTACTTACATGGCATATCCATAACCTTATTATTTAATGCATTCAACCACTCCAAACAGGACGGCCTCGTATTAGTTGAGAGATAGATTCTTAAATGCTTTCTATTGCATGATCAGATTTGAGAGTGGACTTTAGATTTTAAAAGCAATAACCCAAAGCCAAGTTTTGATGGCTTACTAATTAAGTCAGCTTTAGACTCTAGGCCTATTTATCATAATTTGTTTTGTCAATAGAATCTTACAGATTGAAACCCTTTCTTTTTCTGTCTAGTCTTGTTTGTGAGAGAAGAAAAATGGAGTATGTCAGTGAAACAATGATCCAAAGTTGGAAGCATTGTTGGGCTGGTGCACACGCCTAAGTCAACTCAACCATCCCATAAAAGAAGAGTTGTGCCAAGTTTGACAACTTTAGCTTATCAAAGTAAATAAATGGATCTATTATCCGAATTATAGAGTAAATAGTATAAATTCATTGAAATTATTCTTCCCTAGTTGCGAATTTACCAACTGATTAGCATTCTATTTATTTTTTCAAAAAAAAAAAAGACAAGAAGAGAACTAGAGTAGGAAGAAGTTAAATTCCTTCAACTGATCAAGATATCAAAGTTCCTATTAATTTAAAAGTTGAATTTACAATGTAACAGTGACATGAATCTATTTTGACATTATCACAGAAGAAGATGCCATATACTCACAGGTGGTAGCCATGATTTCAACGCCAGAATTTATTGTTGCATTGCTTCAAAAGATTAATTAATCAATCAAGTAGCTGTAATTAGACAAGAATGTTTACACCATCCAAGTTAACTTGGGACAATATCAACAGAAACAAGTGATTAGTGGTCTTCCTTAGATATAGCCTAACAGAAAAATCTAAGTATCAGCCAATTTAAAGATTAATTAATCACTTCCATATGTCAAGCAGTTTTCATTAGACAAGAATATTGACACCAACTAAGTAAAACTTGACATAATACCAATAGGAAACACAGTGAGATGGTTTCTCCTTGCAGAAAATTTCAAAATTGAAGTATCAACCAATTCAAATGAATTTATGCCTTAAAACTATTTCATTTATCTTGTTGAGTAAAATCTGAATCAAAATCAAGGTGGTCTTGAATTATCCTTTATCATCAGAAATGTTTATTGTTATTTAGTTTGAGCATCCAATCCAAATTAATCGATTATAAGTAAAGGATTTTAAGTTATATGCACTAATAGTGTTAGAAATATTTAGACAAGTAAATCTTAATAATAAACATTAATCAGTAACCTGGTAAAAATGACATTTAAACTACATTAATAGTGTAAAAAATGTTTTCGCTGTTAAGAGTATATAACTGAAATCTTGAGTAAAGTGGTTTTGAGTCTGTTAAGCATCTTATCTTTCATAATTAATTCCATTTATTATCCCAACTTTCTTCAAATTGTAAAAGAAGATGAAAGTTTTTCTTTTCTCTTCATTTCCTTGAACTTACCTTTTTCTGTTAGTAGAATAATTTGACTCTGTTATTTTCTTGACATTAAACAAAGTCTAGAAGAAATTGTGACTAGTAGTAAAATAATTTTATGAATTAGAAATTTATAGTAAATCCATTTGGACCCCTGTCATAGAAAACATCTAATACCAATGGAAACTTAATATATTCAATGGGGTGAAGTTGTCTTATGCCAACAAGGAATCAGTTTATGCTAAAGCTGTTCTTGAGATCATCACAATATCACATATAAATTAATCATTCTTTGCAGCTTTAACACATTCAAGAATGGAGCTAATCATGTTAATAGTGATTGTGCTAGTGTTGGCTTTAGTAATATTAGCTATCTTACTGAAAACAAGGGATTCTCCAAAAGAAATGGAAGCAATTCCAGGTACCTTAGGGTGGCCTATTATTGGAGAGAGCTTGTCTTTCATATCTGAATTCTCAAGCCCTGCTGGTATATACAGCTTCATTAACAAGAGACAGAAACTGTAAGTAAGTGTTAAGGCCAACATATGATCATTTTCGTATTATCTAGCTATAGCACGTCAAATATTTCTCCAGGGAATCGTAATAATATGCTATGTTTATTTAGAAAGAACTCATTCACTTGCATTGTGGGAAAGAATTTAAAATCTTGCTCGGGAAAGTTAAAGAAAATTCTTAAAATGCTCTATGTTATGAAAAATTACACTGTAAAATATTGATTTTAGATGTATATAACATATATTCAACACCCTTTGTCGGGAAATTTGTTTACTTCTTTCAAGTCAGAACACCCTTGAAGAAATTTCTGGCTTTGCCACTGACTGACTGTATCATGGTTTGGCGCGTGATTGAAATAATGATTGTAGGTATGGGAAGGTGTTCAAGAGTTATGTATTGGGAAGGTACACGGTGTTCATGACAGGAAGAGAAGCAAGTAAAATATTGTTGACAGGAAAAGATGGAATGGTGAGCTTAAACCTTTTCTACACAGGACAGCAAGTACTTGGACCTACTAGCTTGCTTCAACAGACGGGAGATTCGCACAAGAGACTCCGAAAACTAATTGCTGAACCACTTTCTGTTGATGGACTTAAGAAGTATTTTCAGTTTATCAACAGCTTAGCTATTGAAACATTGGATCAATGGTCTGGAAAAGAAGTCTTGGTTCTTGAAGAGGCTTCCACAGTTGAGTCTTTTGATTGTTGAGTTTGGTTTTTGATTTAGAGGCATTGTTTCAACCTGTTGGATTATGTTTTGCAGTTCACGCTCAAGGTGATAGGCAACATGATAATGAGCTTAGATCCAACTGGTGAGGAACAAGACAAGTTTCGAACCAATTTCAAGATTATTTCTGCCTCTTTTTCTTCTTTACCCTTTAAGGTCCCGGGAACTGCCTTTTATCGTGGCATTCAGGTAACAAATTTTCAACAGTATATGCAGAATAGGATTAATGGACAAACTAAAAGGGATGGCTATTTGTCAACTACAGGCTCGTGATCGAATGTATGCTATGTTAGACTCGATAATTGACCAACGGAGAAGTGGGAAAAGCTTGAAACAAGATTTCTTGCAATCCCTGGTAAAGAAGCATGCATCAGAAGGAAATGATGATGATGGCAAACTTACCGATAAACAACTGAAGGATAACATATTAACACTGCTAGTTGCAGGACACGATACTACAACTGCTGCATTGACATGGCTACTCAAATTTATTCAAGAAAATCCTGCTGTATTGGAACGATTAAGGGTAATTCTTATTGACCCTAACACGGGAAAAAGGAACAGCCTTTAACTTTCTGAAATTAGATTATAACTTGAATCTCTTATTTGCAGGAGGAACATAGAGAAATCCAAGCTAGAAAACAAGGCACGTCAGATCTTGCCTGGTCTGAAGTCAATAATATGCCTTACACCGCCAAAGTGAGCTGCATAATAGTCATGAATCCAGCTTCTTTTCATCCCTGAAATTCAAAGATTAACTGTTTGCTTGATCTTTCAATGTTCAGGTAATAAGTGAAACTCTTAGAATGGCAACAATCCTGCCTTGGTTTTCAAGAAAAGCAGCAATGGATTTTGAAATTGATGGTAACTGTCAGCTTTCTCATACCTGGAATTTGTTACATTTCCTGCTCTACTATACAGAGCTAGAATAAATCTTTTAACCATGCTCAGGATTCAAAATCAAGAAGGGATGGTCTCTTAACTTGGATGTAGTGTCTATCCACCGCGACCCCAAGATTTTTCCTAATCCTGAGAAGTTTAATCCTTCTAGATTTGATGTAAGTTCTCCAAAATAATTAGCTGGCTCCTTCTATTCAACCCCTGAGATATTATAACAAAAGTCGGCTTGTTGGATTTTCTACAGGAGCCTCTAAAACCTTTCAGCTTCCTTGGATTTGGAAGCGGACCGCGCATGTGTCCTGGAATCAACCTAGCCAAACTGGAAATTTCTGTTTTCCTTCATCATCTTGTCTGCAGATACAAGTAAGAAAAAAGGAACAGTTGTTTTGAAATTTTCTCCAACGATATTAAGAAACTGTATCTAATTTGAAAATTTGTCTACCTTGCAGATGGACGCCTTTAGACACAGATGATTCTGTTCAGCCAACACTTGTCAGGATGCCAAAGAACAAGTATCCAGTCATGGTTGAGACACTTTAGATAATGTCTTTCTTTCACATTGTATTAGAAAGAGGAAACGAAAGCATTTTAGTAGAATATAATAGCACAAATAAGGAAAAGGTGCCAACTCCTGGTTCCAGTTGAACCAATAAGTAACCAATGAGTTGGAATTGTTCCTGTAGATCCATTGTTAAATTGCAAGATAATGTATGAAACTCTTTGATGATGATAAAAAAGATGGTAATCTAACAAAGTGATACATTTTAAAGCTCAAAGCAAGTATAACAACAACCCAGTATAATCCCACTAGTGGGGTCGGGGGGTAGTGTGTACGCAGACATTACCCCTACCCTGGGGTAGAGAGGTTGTTTTCGATAGACCCTCGGCTCCTTCCCTCCAAGAACTCCCAACCTTGCTCTTGGGGTGACTCGAACTCACAACCTCTTGGTTAGAAGTGGAGGGTGCTCACCACTATAGCAACCCACTCTTGTCTTAAAGCTCAAAGCAAGTACTTTGCTCATTTTGTTCTGCTTCCTCTTTCATTTTCTTCTTTTCTCGTCGAGAGGGGTGGCTGGTATATGGCAGGAGGTTGTTACAATCAACCCTTGATCCACCCATTCTAGCACTGAATGTGATATATTTAACTCAGATGCATAGCTCGAAAACTTAACTGGACGTTAGAATTTCCTGATTAAAGAGCCAAGAAAAGTCTAAATGTGCATTGCAAGTAATTACTCTCTAATAGCCACCTGCTCTCAAGAAAAGAAGATGATTATAACTACCAAAAAAGAAAAAAATCGAATAGTATACATCCTTTTGAGAAGTGGATAATTCGGTTTTTCAACCTTAGCCTGCAGTTTATGTATTAACTTCCATGATTTCTTTCCAATCACTTTCTGGAGATTCCTCAGCCAAACGACATATATAATACAGAGAGTATGATAGTTTGCAGATTCACTGAGATTGTTATTGTAAAAAAAGAAGCTTCAAATTGAAAGTTTAGATTCTGTTTGCAACCGAAAAAATTGTACCTCAACGATAAAATAAATAAATAAAAAATTAGAAGAATAGGACTACAAGGTACAAATCATTAACTGTATCCCCTATTCAGTTTAACGTTCTACTACATTAGTCTTCTAAAGATATCACGAATATGCATGCTCTTAAGGGGATAAAAACCAGAAACAGAAATGGTTATCTGCTATAGAAATTAACTTGATCAGTTGTTTCGTTCATCTTTTATTTCTGTTTCCTTTTTTTTTCTTTGACCCACCCTGACGCCAGAAAAAGAAACACAGACCAATCCATCAACCCCCCTCTTGACCCAACCAAAGAAGGCAAGTTTTGCTTCAAGAATATGGAGGTCATAACCATTGACGGGTTTTACAATTTCATACCGAACAAGACTCGTAGACTACATCCAATCTTAAAATCTATTGCACAAATGCTACCATAACTTTCTTGCAGAGTTTCTAAACTCTCTTTTCAACATTTTTTCATATTTTTTGCTATGGCTAGGAGTTCCCCTTTTTCATATCAAAGATAGCAGACTGAGAAAATGGAGAGGAACACAAAAGATTCATAAAGCTGCCACATAATCTTGGCAAATCCTTCCTTATGATAACACATTTATGCAGAAGCAAAAATGCCACACCGATACACTTCTATGGGTCCAAGTCACAATTCAAACATCACTTCTACAATGAATCCAAGGCTTCCTACAGAAACTAATAGCTTCTCTAATTCAAACATCAGTGGCACGATGGCTCTAATGTTTCCTACAGAAACAATGAGAAACTATAGCTTCTCTATCTAAGAATTACGTCCCCTGTGCTGAGGGCAGCAACAGTTTTGACTCCCGATATCTGCAGCTAGACAAGGAGGCTTGACGTTCTCATCCTTGTACCAGATTGATCGTGCTTTAACTAACTCGTCCAAGAAGTCATCCAGCTTTTCGACTGTGACACTAGGCATTACGACAACATGTGACATATTTCTTTCACAAGCAAGTTGCCACTTGCGAACAAATTCCTCATCTTTAGGTCGCTCAAAAACAACTGTGCTGCTCAGTTCATTCAGCATAGCACTGATTCCAGCTCCTATAAGGCGATCTTTTAAGTAATGAGCATTCCTTAGGCACTTCTGGACTTCTTTCTGGAATCCCTTGTACCCTTTTCTGTTCAGGGTGCACCAAAGGAAAAGTGGAGCATGCCCATTCCGACTTCCCATGATAGTGGCGTCCCTTGAAGCAAGGTACTCCACGTTCCTAGAAAGGGCATTAATGTGCTCCAACCTTGTCAGTTGAACACCGCATGGCATTGGACATCCCACAAACTTGTGACCAGAGACGCTCACACTACCAATTGGCTTTTTGAAAGTAACCTGCGGTGCCTGTACATATTAACAATATTACTTAAGAGGTAAACCCTGAAACAATAGCATTACCTTCAAAAAAAAAAATTCTTCTTTTTGGTTTCTTTCATTTTCTGAAAATTTAAATTTTAAATTTATTGTTCCGTAAAATGGTACGTAGGAGCAACAAAAGATAATAGTTAAATTTATGATTCATAAAAGCGCTGTGGCGGTGGATGGTCTCTGCTTGCAGAATCTCTTTTTTGGTTTGAAGAAGTTACCACATGACGAACATTAATACTTGTCAAAAGAAAAAAAGGAATATAAACACTGCCAACAGGACTGTAGATCTGCATACAAAATCTATTTCATCCTTTTTTTGTTTTTTACTGTGAAGAAGTATCCACATAAGGAACACCTACTGCCAACAGGACCGGAAAAAAGATACTTTATCTTTTAGTCCTTCTAATCAGCCAAAGATATGAATTCTGCTTCTCTTCATATTTCCCCCTTTAGTTCCAAAAGAAATGGTTACAGAGAACCAATTTGACTTTTAACCTTCTGCCTATTGCTAGTGGCAAAGGCAGCAACTTTTCACATTTTCAATTACACAAGAGTACCTCATAAACTCCTGATTCGCTAACAGTAGCCAAGTATTTTTACATACACTTCACATAGGCTAGTTTAAGAAATGCAAGGAGAAGTTAAACAATAAAAACAGCTTGTATAAACAAATTACTTACACGCTTGACAAATGGCATCATAAGACCAAAGAGAGCCCCATCACAGTGGATATAAAACCGATCATGTGAAAACCCGCACTCTTCAAGGGTTTTTATGACGAGATCAAGATCATCGACGGCTCCTTTCACAGTAGTCCCTGTCAACCAAAAAAGATGGCACATTAGGCAGCTACGCGGTTGCTGCATTTAGGGAATATCTCAGACAGTGAAAGGGTAAGAGAGTACCGATGTTGACATTGAGGATTGCAGGTTTGTCCTTGTTTGCTAGTAGCTTAACTTTGAAGTCTGCACAATCTATTTCACCAGTTAGTAGAGTGTCAACCTTCACACATTCCATTCTATACATTCGTGCTGCTTTAAAAACAGAATAATGAGACTCCTTCGAAGCATACAAAATTCCTTCGGGAAATACTTCTCTCCTGCATTATTAAGACAGTATTTTCCTTAGAATTAGAAAAAAGAGAGGAAAAAGGAGGGAGATCCCCTCTTCAGCAGTAACCTAATGCTTCCAAAGGAAAAAAATTAAAATTATACTAACCCAACAAGGATTCCATGAAGATTTCCTTCAGTTCCGCAGTTTGTGATGTATCCCCAATATTCATTCTTCTCTATTTCCCATAGGCGTGCAAACCAGTCCAAAACCCCAACTTCAAACTGCCTTGAGTGCACACCATAATTACTCTCAATGAATGGATCCCCCAAGTTATTGATGGAAAAATGCTGCAACTGTGTGAGTGCACCATAATCAAAGTCCAAATTATATGGATACCCTGTGAAAATCAGCAATCTGAGATAATAAGGCAAATATCTTTTTACACCTGGAATGCAATGAAAGTAGTCAAGGATGTTGTAAACTGGACTAGTCCACCCACCCACTGGGACATACTGTTGGCTAATTTCAATACTATATCTATACTGTTGGCTAATTTCAATACTATATCTATATTCATTACCAAAAATAACATCAGTACGGTAGTTCGGAGGCAATCAATATATAAGGTTCTAATGAAGAAAAAGCACTTTTTAATGCTAAACACAACACGAAATCAAATTTTTTATAAACAGCAAATAAGACAACACATATAGCTATTTAAAAGAAAGACAGAAGCCATTCTAAATTATGTTTACCTCCCAAAAGGAGGAAAAGCTATATCATACTTAGGTGAAGAAATAGATAAGAATATCAGAAACACCTTATAGTAAATAATCACCCAATGATTTCATCCTCTCATGTTACATCAATATCCCAACCTCCCCACCCCCCC